CATGTGCATTCAATGTCAGCTGCCTCAGCTGTCATGAATGAATGAATGAATCAGTTAAAACCTGTCACATTCATTTCATCAAACAGTTCCATTAATAATATGTATATAAACTAAGAGACAATAGAAAATGCTCATATTGTTCAGTTTAAAAAAACAACAATTGATTCAATATTTTTTAACAGTTAATTGGTTCACTAGAATCACCCAACTGCAGAATATATAAACACATCGCTTAAACACAAAACGCGTTACCGTACAGCTGACGTCATGAAAATGTGTAGAACATGGATGCTAGCGATAGGCAGACACAGGCAGACGGGAGGACCCAAGACACAAGTAGACAGGAGGACCCAAGACACAGGTAGACAGGAGGACCCAAGACACAGACAAACAGGAGGACCCAAGACACAGGTAGACAGGAGGACCCAAGACACAGACAAACAGGAGGACCCAAGACACAGAAAAACAGGAGGACCCAAGACACAGGTAGACAGGAGGACCCAAGACACAGGTAGACAGGAGGACCCAAGACACAGACAGACAGGAGACCCAAGACACAGGTAGACAGGAGGACCCAAGACACAGACAAACAGGAGGACCCAAGACACAGGTAGACAGGAGGACCCAAGACACAGACAAACAGGAGGACCCAAGACACAGGTAGACAGGAGGACCCAAGACACAGACAAACAGGAGGACCCAAGACACAGACAAACAGGAGGACCCAAGACACAGGTAGACAGGAGGACCCAAGACACAGGTAGACAGGAGGACCCAAGACACAGACAAACAGGAGGACCCAAGACACAGACAGACAGGACCCAAGACACAGACAGACAGACCCAAGACACAGGTAGACAGGAGGCCCAAGACACAGGTAGACAGGAGGACCCAAGACACAGGTAGACAGAAGGACCAAAGACACAGACAGACAGGACCCAAGACACAGACAGACAGACCCAAGACACAGGTAGACAGGAGGCCCAAGACACAGGTAGACAGGAGGACCCAAGACACAGGTAGACAGAAGGACCAAAGACACAGACAAACAGGAGGACCCAAGACACAGACAAACAGGAGGACCCAAGACACAGGTAGACAGGAGGACCCAAGACACAGGTAGACAGGAGGACCCAAGACACAGACAAACAGGAGGACCCAAGACACAGGTAGACAGGAGGACCCAAGACACAGGTAGACAGAACCCAAGACAGAGAGAGAAAGGAGACCCAAGACACAGGTGGACAGGAGGACCCAAGACACAGACAAACAGGAGGACCCAAGACACAGGTAGACAGGAGGACCCAAGACACAGGTAGACAGAACCCAAGACAGAGAGAGAAAGGAGACCCAAGACACAGGTAGACAGGAGGACCCAAGACACAGGTAGACAGGAGGACCCAAGACACAGGTAGACAGAAGGACCAAAGACACAGACAGACAGGACCCAAGACACAGACAGACAGACCCAAGACACAGGTAGACAGGAGGCCCAAGACACAGGTAGACAGGAGGACCCAAGACACAGGTAGACAGAAGGACCAAAGACACAGACAGACAGGACCCAAGACAGAGAGAGAAAGGAGACCCAAGACACAGGTAGACAGGAGAACCCAAGACACAGACAAACAGGAGGACCCAAGACACAGGTAGACGGAGAGGACCCAAGACACAGGTAGACAGAACCCAAGACACAGGTAGACAGGAGGACCCAAGACACAGACAGACAGGAGGACCCTAGACACAGACAGACGGGAGACCCAAGACACAGACAGACAGACCCAAAACACAGACAGACAAGAGGCCCAAGACACAGGTAGACAGGAGACCCAAGACACAGACAGACAGGAGGACCCTTGACACAGACAGACGGGAGACCCAAGACACAGACAGACAGGAGGACCCAAGACACAGACAGACAAGAGGCCCAAGACACAGGTAGACAGGAGGACCCAAGACACAGACAGACAGGAGGACCCAAGACACAGGTAGACAGGAGGACCCAAGACACAGGTAGACAGGAGGCCCAAGACACAGGTAGACAGGACCCAAGACACAGGTAGACAGGAGACCCAAGACACAGACAGACAGGAGGACCCAAGACACAGACAGACAGGAGGACCCAAGACACAGGTAGACAGGAGGACCCAAGACACAGACAGACAGGAGACCCAAGACACAGGTAGACAGGAGGACCAAAGACACAGGTAGACAGGAGGACCAAAGACACAGACAGACAGGAGGACCCAAGACACAGGTAGACAGGAGGACCCAAGACACAGGTAGACAGGAGGACCAAAGACACAGGTAGACAGGAGGACCAAAGACACAGGTAGACAGGAGGACCCAAGACACAGGTAGACATGAGGACCCAAGACACAGACAGACAGGAGGACCAAAGACACAGACAGACAGGAGACCCAAGACACAGACAGATAGACCCAAAACACAGACAGACAAGAGGCCCAAGACACAGGTAGACAGGAGACCCAAGACACAGACAGACAGGAGGACCCAAGACACAGGTAGACAGGAGGACACAAGACACAGTTAGACAGGAGGCCCAAGACACAGGTAGACAGGAGACCCAAGACACAGACAGACAGGAGACCCAAGACACAGGTAGACAGGAGGACCCAAGACACAGGTAGACAGGAGACCCAAGACACAGGTAGACAGGAGGACCCAAGACACAGGTAAACAGGAGGACCCAAGACACAGGTAGACAGGAGGACCCAAGACACAGACAGACAGGACCCAAGACACAGACAGACAGGAGGACCCAAGACACAGGTAGACGGAAGAACCCAAGACACAGACAGACAGACCCAAAACACACACAGACAAGAGGCCCAAGACACAGGTAGACAGGAGACCCAAGACACAGACAGACAGGAGGACCCAAGACACAGGTAGACAGGAGACCCAAGACACAGACAGACAGGAGGACCCAAGACACAGGTAGACAGGAGACCCAAGACAGAGACAGACAGGAGGACCGAAGACACAGGTAGACAGGAGGATCCAAGACACAGACAGAAAGGAGACCCAAGACACAGACAGACAGGAGACCCAAGACAAAGGTAGACAGGAGGATCCAAGACACAGGTAGACAGGAGGACCCAAGACAAAGGTAGACAGGAGGACCCAAGACACAGACAGACAGGAGGACCCAAGACACAGACAGACAGACCCAAGACACAGACAGACAGACCCAAGACACGTGTGTTTATTTCGTAATGACGACAGACAGAGAGTTTACAGACGTCGGGGAAAACGTTTGGCACTAGCATGCGTTCGCGAGGTGCATATGTACAGTGGCGGAAGTGACATTGTATGGGCGGCAGTTGTGGCAACAAGAAGGCGCGCTTAGTGATAATCCAAGGCAATATGAATGCCAATGAGTGCAGGCATCAAGTTTTGCAAACAGTCGTACTCCCTTTCTTAAAAACCAGACATAGGGGACTTTTTTCAGCACGATAACGCCAGACCCCATACTGCCAGCGCGACTCAGGATTTTCGCAATAAGGACAACGTCAATGTTCTTCCCTGGCCTGTTCCCCGGATATGAACCCAATAGAACGTCTGTGGGATCACAGCCGGATTCATTGTCGACCTCACGGTGCGCAGAACCTACAAGTAGCTTGAACAAGCACTGAGATAAGAATGGCAGTGAATACCAAATCACGTCATCCGACGTTTGACGTCATCCATGAGAAGATGTGTGATTGCGTGCATTAATGCAGCGGGAGCTCACACACGTCATTAGTGATAGAGATTAAATGCTACATACAAAGTCAATTTTCTTACCCCACGTGTACATGTGTTGAATGTGTGTGTCTAAACGACGAATATCCAGTGATTACTTTATAACATAAAATTGCTTTTAAACAAACTTATTTTGTTTTCTATGTTTTACACATACTTTAAACCCGACCTCATCTTCCAGAGGCAAGGGAGTTTTCTGACTATAGAAATCCAGTTTCTAACCTTGCCGAACTTGGCAGGAATTATGGAGTTACATTTACCCTGGACTAACGAGTCTATGCATAGAACAATCAAAATTACGTAACGAAACCGACATCCGTTTCGAAAAATGTCCTGCAGATTTCGGGCGATTGCAGGATTTGCAAAGCATAGTGTACCACCAACTGGGCGTCAACAGATATTTTCCAAATCATTTCCTGTTTTTATTCAAGGTGCTCAGGTGATCTGATGGACTTTGCGATGTAAGACACGTTTTGTTACAATAAAGATCTTGATTATCGATCAGATCGTTCTGACTGGTCACCGCCAATTTGCTTGGAGCAGATGCAAGTGACATGAGAGGTGGGATCTGATTGGTCAACTTGTAATAGCCAATGATGGCGTTACGATCGAGCTGGAGCTTCCAGCTGAGTTCGGCAAGGACTTTCACTGTTAGTTATCTCCCTTGCCTTGGGAAGATGGCCCGACTTATTTTCCTCTGCCTTTTAGTTTACATTGAGTCCTAATGTACATGGTGTGAGTGACTGATTGGTGAAAGCTATTAACAAGTGTGTACCACTGAATCCGTTATCACTATTTGCACACATAAAGCCCTATGTGTGTCCTACTGTGACAATAATCAGAATCGGCAGACAAAATCTCTTGTGTAGGAAGACAAAACCCCATGTGTATCCTGCTGTGACCATTATTAGAATCGGCAGACAACACCCCATGTGTATACTGCTGTGGCCATCATCAGGATCGGCAGACAAAACCCCATGTGTATCCTGCTGTGACCACTATCACAATCGGCAGACAATAGGTGATGTGTGTGAGGAAGTTGGGTGGATGTGTGAAAAGGTGGAATGTGCGCGTGAGGGGTTTGGATGGGCACGTGAGGGGGTGGGATGGGCGCGTGAGGGGGTGGGATGGGCGCGTGAGGGGGTGGGATGGGCGCGTGAGGGGATTGGATGGGCGCGTGAGGGGGTGGGATGGGCGCGTGAGGGGGTTGGATGGGCGCGTGAGGTACCTACAATGATGTGTTGTCGACACAATGTCCGGCGGTCAGGGCCCAGTTGTCGTTCATAATGCTGACACTACAGAGATGGATGAAGGAGCCACTGAGCTGCTTCTGTAGGGAGCCGAGCCAAGGCCAGGAACCAGGTTGTGCATCTCCCCCTCCGATCAGTCGCCGGACTCGCCCAGCCGCTGCAGCCAGAACAAGACATCAATGTCGTATAACATCAGGGCACAATCACAACAACATCAGGGCACTATCACAACAACATCAGGGCACTATCACAACAACATCAGGGCACTATCACAACAACATCAGGGCACTATCACAACAACATCAGGGCACTATCACAACAACATCATGACATTATCACAACAACATCAGGGCACTATCACAACAACATCAGGGCACTATCACAACAACATCAGGGCACTATCACAACAACATCATGACATTATCACAACAACATCAGGGCACTATCACAACAACATCAGGGCACTATCACAACAACATCAGGGCACTATCACAACAACATCAGGGCACTATCACAACATCAGGGCATTATCACAACAACATCAGGGCAATATCACAACAACATCAGGGCACTATCACAACAACATCAGGGCACTATCACAACAACATCAGGGCACTATCACAACAACACCAGGGCACTATCACAACAACATCAGGGCACTATCACAACAACATCAGGGCACTATCACAACAACATCATGACATTATCACAACAACATCAGGGCACTATCACAACAACATCAGGGCACTATCACAACAACATCAGGGCACTATCACAACAACATCATGACATTATCACAACAACATCAGGGCACTATCACAACAACATCAGGGCACTATCACAACAACATCAGGGCACTATCACAACAACATCATGACATTATCACAACATCAGGGCACTATCACAACAACATCGAGCACTATCACAACAACATCAGGGCACTATCACAACAACATCAGGGCACTATCACAACAACATCAGGGCAATATCACAACAACATCAGGGCACTATCACAACAACATCAGGGCACTATCACAACAACATCAGGGCACTATCACAACAACACCAGGGCACTATCACAACAACATCAGGGCACTATCACAACAACATCAGGGCACTATCACAACAACATCATGACATTATCACAACAACATCAGGGCACTATCACAACAACATCAGGGCACTATCACAACAACATCAGGGCACTATCACAACAACATCAGGGCACTATCAAAACATCAGGGCAATATCACAACAACACCAGGGCACTATCACAACAACATCAGGGCACTATCACAACAACATCAGGGCAATATCACAACAACATCAGGGCACTATCACAACATCAGGGCAATATCACAACATCAGGGCACTATCACAAAATCAGGTACTATCACATCAATATGAGGGCATTATAATAACATAAGGACACTATCACAACATCAGGGCACTATCACAACATCAGGGCACTATCACAACAACATCAGGGCACTATCACAACACCATCAGGGCACTATCACAACAACATCAGGACACTATCACAACACCATCAGGGCACTATCACAACAACATCAGGGCACTATCACAACAACATCATGACATTATCACAACAACATCAGGGCACTATCACAACACCATCAGGGCAATATCACAACATCCGGGCATTATCACAAAATCAGGTACTATCACATCAATATGAGGGCATTATAATAACATAAGGACACTATCACAACAGCATCAGGGCACTATCACAACATCATGACATTATCACAACAACATCAGGACACTATCACAACAGCATCAGGCACAATCACAACATCAGGACATTATCACAACATCATGACATTATCACAACAGCATCAGGCACTATCACAACAGCATCAGGCACTATCACAACATCAGGACATTATCACAACACTATCAGGGCACTATCACAACACCATCTGGGCAATATCACAGGAACATCGGCACTATCACAACAACATCAGGGCACTATCAAACAACATCAGGGCAATATCACAACAACATCAGGGCATTATAATAACATAAGGACACTATCACAACAACATGAAGGCAATATTACAACATCATCAGGGCAATATCAAAACAACATCAGGTCACTATCAAAACAACATCAGGGCACTATCACAACACCATCAGGGCAATATCACAACATCAGGGCACTATCACAAAATCAGGTACTATCACATCAATATGAGTGCATTATAATAACATAAGGACACTATCACAACATCAATATGAGGGCAATATCAAAAAAACATCAGGCCAGTATCACAACAACATCAGGGCAATATCACAACATCAGGGTAATATCACATCAACACCAGGGCACTATAAAAGGACATCAGGCACTACCACATCAACATCAGGGCAATATCACAACATCAGGGTACTCTCACATCAACATCAGGGCAATATCACAACATCAGGGTACTATCACATCAACATCGAGGAATATCACAACAACATCAGGGCAATATCACAACAACATCAGGGCAGTATCACAACATCAGGGTACTATCACATCAACATCAGGGTACTATCACATCACTATCAGGGCAGTCTCACAACATCAGGGTACTATCACATCAACATCAGGGTAATATCACAACACTATCAGGGCAATATCACAACAACTTCAGGGCAATATCACAACATCAGGGCAATATCACAACAACATCAGGGCAATATCACAACATAAGGGCAATATCACATCAACATCAGGGCAATATCACAACAACATCAGGGCAATATCACAACAACGTCAGGGCAGTATCACAACAACATCAGGGCAGTATCACAACAACATCAGGGCAATATCACAGGAACATCAGGGCACAATCACAAGAACTTCAGGGGAATATCACAACACCATCAGGGCACTATCACAACAACACCAGGTCACTATCACAACACCATCAGGCCAATATCACAGGAACATCAGGGCACAATCACAAGAACTTCAGGGGAATATCACAACACCATCAGGGCAATATCACAACACCATCAGGGCAATATCACAACATCAGGACACTATCACAACATGAAGGCAATATCACAACAATATCAGGGCACTAACATCAACAGGGCTATTTAAGGGTTGCCACTCTAATAAACTATTTAAGTGTTGCCACCATAATTATCTGTGAAAGTGTTGCCACCCTTATAATCTATTCACGTGTTGCCACCTTAATAAACTATTCACGTGTTGCCACCATGATAAACTATTCACGTATTGCCACCATAATAAACTATTCACGTATTCATCACACCAACTTCTAAATGCCACTCAAAGAAGTTATTCACGTATTGACACCATCATAAACTATTCACGTATTGCAACCATAATAAACTATTCATGTATTGCCGACATGATAAACTATTCACGTTTTGCCACCATGATAAACTATTCACATATTGCCACCATGATAAACTATTCACGTATTGCCACCATAATAAACTATTCACGTATTGCCACCATGATAAACTATTCACATATTGCCACCATGATAAACTATTCACGTATTGCCACCATAATAAACTATTCACGTATTGCCACCATAATAAACTATTCACGTATTGCCACCATGATAAACTATTCACATATTGCCACCATGATAAACTATTCACGTATTGCCACCATAATAAACTATTCACGTATTGCCACCATAATAAACTATTCACGTATTGCCACCATGATAAACTATTCACGTATTGCCACCATGATAAACTATTCACGTGTTGCCACCATGATAAACTATTCACTTATTGCCACTATAATAAACTATTCACGTATTGCCACCATGATAAACTATTCACGTGTTGCCACTATAATTAACTATGGAAGTGTTATTGCACCCTTGTGTTATCGGTTCATTTTCAGCTGATGTCTGTGACCTTCCAGGTTTTTACTTCTTAAATGTCTGTGACATGCCAACAGCTAACTTTTCTGATAAAATGTCTATTACCGGTCATATGGTTTTTTTTCAGCGTATGTGCCTGCGACATCCAAGATGTTTTTCTGCGTAGATGTCCGCGACCTGCAAGATGTTTTTCAGCGTATATGCCTGCGACCAAAAAAGATCTTCTTCTGCGTATATGTCTGTGACCTTTGCGTAGATATCTTTGCCCGGTCAAGTGATGTTTTTGCTTAAATGTCGGTGACCTGCCAAACATTACTTTTCTACGTACATGTCTGGAAACTACAAGACGTTTTTTCTTCTACATAGAATTCTGCGACCAACACAATGTTATTCTGAGTAGATGTCTGTGATATACAAAATGTCATTCTGCGTAAATGTCCCCAACCCGCAAGTTATTTCCTTGCGTATATGTTTATGACATACAAGACGTTTTCTGCTGAAGTGTCTGTGACCTGCCGGATGTTTATTTTCTGCGTAGGTAGATGTCCGCGACCTACAAACACTTTTCCTGCATAAATATTTGCGACCCACAAGATCTTATTCTGCGTTGATGTATGTGACATACAAGACGGTATTTTCTTTCGACGTAAATGTCAGTGACACGCAAAGTCGTATTCCGCGTAGATGTCTGTGATCTGCAAGAAGTTTTTCTGTGTAGATCTGTCACTCACAAGATGCCTTTCTACGTAGATGTCAGTGACAGACGATATGTTTTTCTACGTAGATGTCTGTGACATACGACATGTTTTTCTACGTAGATGTCTGTGACATACAAGTCGTTTTTCTGCTTAGATGTCTGTGACATACAAGTCGTTTTTCTGCTTAGATGTCTGTGACATACAAGTCGTTTTTCTGCTTAGTTGTCTGTGACATACAAGTCGTTTTTCTGCTTAGATGTCTGTGACATACAAGTCGTTTTTCTGCTTAGTTGTCTGTGACATACAAGTCGTTTTTCTGCTTAGTTGTCTGTGACATACAAGTCGTTTTTCTGCTTAGATGTCTGTGACATACAAGTCGTTTTTCTGCTTAGATGTCTGTGACATACAAGTCGTTTTTCTGCTTAGTTGTCTGTGACATACAAGTCGTTTTTCTGCTTAGATGTCTGTGACATACAAGTCGTTTTTCTGCTTAGATGTCTGTGACATACAAGTCGTTTTTCTGCTTAGTTGTCTGTGACATACAAGTCGTTTTTCTGCTTAGATGTCTGTGACAT